CCAGACAAAGTTTTATTTTTGTAGAAAAAGGTGACAATTACGGCATGTTTTCCTGTGCGTTCCTTGACCTTGAGAAACGCCCAGTTTGACATAAATCATTTCTGAACATCTGCTTGTTGGGTATCTGCTTATCTTGTTACACTTCCCCAAACATGTAAGACAACCTTTTTAGGACGCTTGGCCTCATGGTAGAAGACAGGACACAGCAGCAGTGAGAATGCAGTAGGTACTAAGCAGGTGGAGGAAAAAAAAAGGTGAAAATTACCAATTTAGTGCCATTGTTATTTCTGGAACAGTTATATTTTTTGAGTCAAGGGAGGAATTTTATCTTGGTGTGAGGAACACAGTCTTACTTGAAGGGTGCTTTTATGTGTCACTAGACTGGTTAGCAAGGAGCATCTTTTTAAAAAATGGATCTTAGAATTGCTTTCCTGTGCTCCAAGAAATGTATTTATATAAATTGCAAAACAATTTTGCATTGTTGTTGGTGGTGATAGTGCATTTTGTGATGCAATATATCAATTTCAGTGATGCACATGTCAAATTTAAAAACTGATCTTCCTCCTAGAATTTGCATTTATCCATTCCATTTTTTAAGGATAATGCAACTCTGAGGGAAGAGCTGGAAAATTAAAGCCTTTGTTTTTTCTATTATGGAAGATCTCCTTGGATTAATAAACATCTAAAGCAAATCCTCATCTTCACTTATTTCAGTGTGGTGTTTTGAATGCAGCTCTATTCTGACAGTGCTCGGGAGTCCTATTTAAGTTACTGAGCCCTAAGGTTTGTATCTTCCCCTCTCACGTATTTCTCCGAGCAGAAATGCTAGGCAGAAACACAGTTCTCTTAACTGATTAAATACAGAAGTTGTATGACCTACGTTGTTTTTTAAATGTTGACATGCTGGGTAAGTTTAATACCTTTTTTTCCCACAAGCCATTACCTTAAAAGAATTGTTCTGGTACAGTACAGGAAAGTTCTGCTCAAATGTCGTGTAGCCTTCTGCAAAATTCAAGCCTGGAGCGGAATAATTTCAGAATACCAGGCAATAAATATAAAGGTAGTTTAAATTGTGCCTAGTAATCAGTACCTGCTAATAAGTTCTAAAGGTTAAGTTGTATTTTTCTAAAGGAAACTTCTTCCCCTGGTGATTATCAGTTTTTGAAAAATAAAAACAAAGCTTCGCGACACATTTTTGCATCATTTTGTCATGTTCCCTTTCAGTCCTTCCTCATGTGTACTTTCTCAGTCGCTCATCATTTTCACTTCCTATGCCTCAGCTTGTCCCCTTTTAATTCCTTTGAGATAACTGTAGTAAGCAGTTTATACGAAGTAGTTTGGACTGCAGGCAGTTACACCCCAGTCAAGTGCTGTCTGTGTATATTCACTATGAGAACCATTGCATCCTCCTCTGGAGTTTCTGCACCCGAACAGATGCTGAAGCCTCGCAGCACTAAGGGGACACTTACAGAATAGCAGAGCTGAGGAATGGGTTCCCAACGGGTGCTTCGGGCTCCCAGAGCGAAAGCCGTGCTTGCAGTAGTGTTAGCGGTAGCCCCCGTGTTGTCTGTAGGGAATATATCAGGTTTAACCAAGTTTAAATGAGGCTGGTCCAAAGTTTGTAGACTGTACGAGTTTTCCATAATTTGGGCTACTAATTACATTTTTGTCTTCGCTACGTTATCAGTAGCGTGTTTTGAGTAGATAAACACTGCTTCTGGAAATCTATTCAGAAGTAGCATTTGGTTTATGTAAGCATAGCTGTGAAAAGCACCACTGTTCTGTTCCACCAACTATTCAGGTTTTAACCTAAATTCAGTATTGAACTGTATCAAAATTTGAGAAAAGCTTGTAAGGTCCAAGGCTCAAAACGTTATGATGTTACAGATTCAAAAAGCAAGAGCTTATCGTACACTGATTCAGGGTTTTCTTCCCTGCTTTCCATAGGGCCTTCTCTACAAACAAGCACTTGAAAAAAGTTAGTTTGTTAATGTATTAAAAATTAAAAGCCTGAATACTAAATTACTTTGCAATTACTCTATAGCATATGTAACTGCTGTAGCATCAGTTAGCTTATTTTTTTTTTATAATCGCTCGTTCAGATGTTGATGCTGGAACAGTAAGACAAAGCAGGGGATGCACAGAGGTGCCAGAGATTGAGAAGAGATGTAGGAAACCCTTGGTGAAGTTCATAAAACCCAAAACGAAGTTTTCTTTCAGGCATTTCACTGCTGCTGTACCCCAAACACCTGGCTGCCATTCCTGTGTTGACTGTAAGCTCCCCATTAAGAAATAGGAAGCAAAACTTGAAGCTAAAGAAAGGAAAATTGCTGGTTTTAATTGTTCCTCAGTAGTAGGGCTGATCTGGAATAAAATATTTTGGCTGTTTGTATTGTTTTAAGAAGCACTGTGGAATTAAACGCTGTTACAGCTGCCCCGTCCAGAAAGGCCCAGCACAGCCCTGCTGGCGCTGCCGGCTGATTTTATTTCCTGTGAGACAAACGCTGAGCCCCCGGCTGCCGCTGCCCCGCTGCCTTTTACGCTCAATTCCCCGCACCCTGCCCCGCGCAGCCGGGCCCGAGCCGCACCGGGCCCCGAGGCGCCGGCCGGGGGCTGATGAGCTGCCGGCGCTCCGCGGGGGGCCGAGCCCCGAGGCGCCCTCAGGGCCGGGGCCGCGGCGGGAGGGGAGCGGGTGGGGAGCGACGGCTCCGGCCCTCCCCGGCGGAGGAAATGGCGGCCGCCGCCCGCTCCCCCGCTGGCGCGCGAGCGCCGCGCTCCCCGCGGCACAAAATGGCGGCGGCGGCGGCCCCGGACCCAGCATAGCCGGAGAGCCGCGAAGCCGCGGGGCGGGGCCTCGGGCGGGCGGCCAATGGGCAGCGGCGCGGGGCCCGGAGGCGGCCAATGGCGAGCGGGGGCGGCGCGGCGCGCCCAATGGGAGCGGCGGGCGCGCGGGGCGCGGAGCCCGGGCGCGCGGCTCGGGGCGGCGCTGAGGCGGGCGGGCGCTGAGGCGGCCGTTTCCTGTCCTGGTGCATGGTGGTCGGACGGAGGAATTGTTGGAAAATTTCTCGGCGAGGTTCGTATATAAACGTGTCGCTACCCAGTGTGCCTTATGCGAGACGCCGCCATCGCCGCCGCGGGACGCCGCGCCGGGCCCCGCCGCGCCCCAAGCGCCCCGCGGGGCAGGCAGCGGGCAGCGGCGGCACCCGCCGGCACCGGGCAGCGCAGCCCCGCCGCGCGGCACGGCACGGCCCGGAACCCCCCCCCCCACCTCCGCCTGCCGCCCCCGGGGGCCGCTGCGGCACGGCCGGGGGCCCCCGCGCCTCAGGGGGGCTCTCGGCGGCGCCTCCGCCTTTTGTCTGAGCCCGGCAGGCGGCCGCCGGCAGCTCCCGGCCCTCAGCGCGGCCGCGGGAGCTGCTCCTCCGGGAGCGCCTCCAGAGCCGCCCCGGGGGCGTTGGTGCCCCGCTGGGCTCCGGCCCGCGGTGTCCGCTCGGGACGGCGCTGGGCTGGGCGTGAGGGGCCGCGGAGCGCCCGGCTCGGCGGCTCGCGGGGTGCCAGCGCCTCCCCAGGGCTCCTCCCAGGCGCTGAGGCGCTGCGCGGGGATGGCGGCGGTGCTGGGCAGCGCTCCGCCTGCTCCCTGCTGCGGGGCCGGCCGCGAGGCCTCCCGGCAGAGCCCCACATCCGCCTGCAGAAGTCCTCAAAATTGTGCTCTCGGTGGCATAAAGCCCGTACATCCTCAGGGGCTGCCGAGCAGGCCTTTCTGTCACGGTTTCAGCGTGATAGTGCCTGAAAAATTGAGTGTGTTTGTCCTGAACTAAACCTTTCTAAGGGCAGTCCTGTGTGCGCAGCGTGTTCCAGCTTCTTGGTGTAAGAGTACCTGCAAGGAGGGCAGCAGGGCGTAACAGGGTAACGGAGCTGTGATCTCATGGCTCATCTCTTTGTATTTTACGAATTAAAGTCTCGATCTTTCAAGGTGTAAATAAGTCAGAAGCTTTTCACTGAAGTGCCACAGAAAAACCGGGGAGTATGTAGCCCAATAATACACGTTTGCTTTGGTAGTAGGTGGCAATTCAATTGAGCTATGTAGGACAAGTGTTTTAGTTTTTGATAAAGGTATTTCAAATTGATTACATAATTTACATAAACTGTTCTCATTATGGTAATGGAATAACGAAAATTTCGGTCCTAGCATCCATCTTGAAGAGGAATTATTTTGCCTTGTACTGCAAGGCTCAAATAAGCAAATAGAAGAGTAAAAATTCAGTCACACAGGCTTCGTTCTTCCTGTGTCTTCCTGCCTGCATGACATTTGATGCTTAGATATCCCAGTACTTGTGGCATAAGTTGGCGATCCCTTTTCTCACTGGAGGTAGGCACAGAGATAATACAAGGAGGTATATTCTCTGATAACATGAGCCAGAATTAGCTTTGTAAATTTGTTTTTGTCCAGACTACCTCAAATTCTGTACTGCTTCAGCATGTCAAACTGCTGCTGGCCCACGTGTCGCTGCTCTGTAGTACCGGGAGAAGGGACTCGATGGTGTGTGTATTTAGATGCATGTGTGCATATGGGTATGTATGGGACTCGACGAGGTTGGGTTTAGTAAACAGGAGTCTATCTAGAGTCTATCTAGAGTCTATCTAGAGTCTATCTAGAGTCTATCTAGAGTCTATCTAGAGTCTATCTAGAGTCTATCTAGAGTCTATCTAGAGTCTATCTAGAGTCTATCTAGAGTCTATCTAGAGTCTATCTAGAGTCTATCTAGAGTCTATCTAGAGTCTATCTAGAGTCTATCTAGAGTCTATCTAGAGTCTATCTAGAGTCTATCTAGAGTCTATCTAGAGTCTATCTAGAGTCTATCTAGAGTCTATCTAGAGTCTATCTAGAGTCTATCTAGAGTCTATCTAGAGTCTATCTAGAGTCTATCTAGAGTCTATCTAGAGTCTATCTAGAGTCTATCTAGAGTCTATCTAGAGTCTATCTAGAGTCTATCTAGAGTCTATCTAGAGTCTATCTAGAGTCTATCTAGAGTCTATCTAGAGTCTATCTAGAGTCTATCTAGAGTCTATCTAGAGTCTATCTAGAGTCTATCTATCTAGAAACAGCAGAGTGATTCATCTGACCATCAGCCTGTTTTTGAGGGTCTTTGCTCCAGGTAACAGTGAATACTGAGGGTGATTGGGATGTAACCCCTAACGTGCGTGATCCTGTGTGAGGATTTGGGGTAACTGGTTACACGTAGTGTTCAAGCTTATGTTCTCTCCTGAAAAAGCTGTTCATCCTAACACATCTTAAAGAACCTATTACTGTGCAGAAGGACAGGGCGGTGGGTTCAGTGACAGAACATAATTGGGGTAACACAGCAACCGGCTCAAGCTAGTCCCTGGGCCAGCTGACTCCACAGAGCCATGCAGTGGGAAGCCCTTGCCACGAGGAGCGAATGGGTCCTGAGCTGGCTGGAGCAGATCCCGCACAGCTTTGGTCGGGCTGCTGGTGTGACTCAGGAGACACCGAGTTCTTGCCTTGGTTGGGCCCCCTCCTGTGCTGTCCACCCCTTTGTAGTTGGGTGTCCGTGTTGGAATGAGCAAACATGCCCAAGTTAAGGTCCAGTTAATTTTAGTATTTACGAACTTTGGAGTGTTGTTGCAAACTTAACGTAATGGCCTTTTTAAATGCACTTATTTATTTATTTATTTTGTAAATAAAGCTAAAAAGAAGGCATTTTGACCTGGGTTGTTTCTTTGACGGTGTAATTGGGCTGCAGTTACAGTTTAGGACGTGGGTCTTTTTTACTGTCATATGTAATTCTTGGCTTTAGAATTTCGGGGTAAAACATGCTCAGCATAGGTGGTGTCTTTGAGAAACACTGTTATTAAGTTCTGGGGAGTCTTTAATTGGCATTGGTGTCAAAACAAATTCTGTTTGCCAAAGTATAGGGCTCAACTGAATGTAGATGAGCTTCCACGCACAAAGCAATTGACACGTTCTTGGTAATCAGAGCAATTCTTCCAGTTCCAAGTGTTACAGTGCACATAACACAAGTAGTTGAGAGGCAGAGCACATCTGTGCTTTTGCAGTCTGATTCTTTCACTACTCTTTTCCTGTCTGCATTTTGACTCTCTTCCGTGATCGTCCCCAGGATTTCCGCTTCCCACACCGTCTGCTCTAACTTCTCCTGCCCCTGACCTGTGTATGTACACACAATAGCATCCCAGGCCAACCTTTGTTTGCCTTGCCTTGCCACTGGCTTTTCTTCCTGTACCGTCACATTGCTTCAACTTCTCTACAGCTCGCCAGCGTGCTTTCCGTGCTCTCCCAACCAATAGGTGGTCGGTTTGGCTTTTCTTCTCTGCTGTTCTGCAGGGAAATAGGTGGACTCGGTAAAGAGACTGGAAAATGAGTAAGCCTACCCTTGTGCCCCGAGGGCTCCTGGAAGTTTAAATGAAGGTTTCTGTGCAGCTTCTGGGTCCCTCGGGTGGATCCTGGTCCTAACAGATGGATTCTCATCTGGAACCTGAAGCGCCAGTTCCTGTAAATAGAGAAGTGTTCAGGTGTCCCACGGATGGAGTGAGAAATGGAAGGGAGGCGCCTGCCCACAGACACTGCCTTTCTGTGGGAGGAGTGACAGGAAGCCATGCAACATGACCAAATGCGTTCGCATTGTGGCACGGTTGGTTTTAAGGGGCTCTGTCTGCAACTTAATTTGATTTTGGTTATATTTACTCATGGAACTACGGTTTTGGTCTTCCTGCTCTGCTTTGCACAGCAGGAGTTGTTGATCGGTGACGCAAACACCGAATTGGACAAAATTAGCGAATGCTTGCAGTGAATGCTAAAATGTTCTGGGCTACGCTGCTTTCTTAATGATACAGTGGGACTGCACTTTGCTCCACCGCGGTGACACTTGCTCAATAACCAAACTGCTCAGTTCTGGATGGAATTTACAGTTCCAGCAAGTTGTACAGTGTTCCAAGCTGACACCAGATTTACACTTACAACCGCTTGCTGCTGCCCTCACTCTGTATTTTGTCATCTGCTGAATGTTTTTTTTTCTGTAAATACTCGAGGGGTGAAAAGTCTGTTATCTGCTTCATGCTCTTGGACTTCATGACTGACGACAGAATTCTCTGGAGCTGGAAGATGATCTGTATTTGCAAGTTTGGTGGTGATGCCCATACCTTAAGCATATTCCTACTGAGATATCATGGTATTGGCATATATTTATATGCTGTGTTTTCCAGTTTACACTTACTGTTTTGTTTTTTTTTTTTTGTAATTCAGGGTAAAGGTTCATAGTTCAGAAGGCTTTCCAATGAGTTTCTGAAGGACAAGCATTGCCTAAAACGCTGCAGGTTGTTATGGCTAATACTGATACATCTGCAATGTAGTTATCAGATTACTAATTAACTCATATCCACACAACCCAGTCAAAATTCCTGATAGATGTGAAGACACAGAGGTTCATCAGTTAAGAGCTTCTAGTCTCTTTCTTGCTTTGCAACTTCCTGGGGAAAAATACACTTGGGATGAAATCTGTAGTGGCTTAACTCACTAACAGGCTGAAAAACATTCCAAATTTTCTTTCAGCTTTGTTAATAGCATTCAAAGTCTTTCAGGTATCAAAGAAAGTCAGATGACCTACAAGCTTTCTTCTGATTGCTGGCCTAGCATTCAGTTTCTGAACATGCATATTATTATTTATCCTTACTTTTTTGTCTGTGAAAGCAAAAATAACGTATTACCAGTCAGTCTGCAGTAGAGAGTTGTGGGGTTTTGGTTTTATTTTTTAAAGAAAAGAAGAAAGAAGGTATGAGTGAGCATTGGTAAAGCAAATTGGTCTGGGACAGGAGGGATGTGTCTCAGCTGGGGCAAGGAAGGCCGTCTGAGTTCAGAGCAACTTGCTGGCATGTGTTGCTAGCTGAGTCCACGTTGTTCCTCTTGTCATCTGCCTGCCAACCAGTGTGCACACACACATACTCTGAATGATGCAGTGCTGTTTTCAGCCACGTCTGAATTGGACATTTTGCCACAGATTATATGGCCCTTTCTTGGGCTACATCTAAAGCCCTGCTGGGCACAGTGACTGTATGGTGATGACTCGGGGGAAGACTGCTGGCATGTAACGCAGTTAGGTGAAGTTAAATGTTCTGTCTGCGTACTGAGGCCAGCTGTGCTTTGGTACAGCAGTGGTACATTTGATATTACATTGGTGTGTTATTTGCGAAGAGATACCAAATTCTGGCAGTGAATTAGCCTTTGACTGCATTATCAATACGATGCATCTCTAGGGGAGCAACAAGGTTGAAATACTGCAAAAAGACTGAAACTGAACCTCAAGCTTGACTGTGAGCCCCTGCTTTGGGTGACGCAAGTCTTTGCAAGTTGACTGTGCTGCCATTCAGAGCACGTGCAAACCGCTTATGCACTTGACAGTGCTGTCAGTCTTCATTAGGTTCTGTAGGGCCAGGGTTAGATCCCGTGGTTCGTAATTTGCAACGCTTCCTGCTGTCCAGAAAATACATCTGTAATGCGCTATTAAAGTGCGTGCCTTACCCCCTCTTCAGTGACCGGTCTCCCTGAATCCAGCTGTTACAGATCCCTTAGTACAGGTTTGTTTCTGTATTTTCGGCCTCGTTCCTGTAACATGGTGGAAATCGCTGCTTAGTTATGTGGGGGTTGCCTTTACGAGTGATTGGAAAAATAATGTAAAGGAAGTTAAAGTTAGAGAACAAAACACTAAGAAACAGAGAAACGCCTAACACCAGGTAGCTCTTGTTGGGTTTATCCACTACAAGTCAGTCTGACCCATTGGTTATGAAATCAATGCTTCAGTGCGTTGGTGAAGTGCTGCAAGGGGCAAGGGCAGCTGAAGGAGACAGAAACCCATGTCTGCTCTCCTGAAACGCTGGATCAAAGCATCAACAGGATCTAGGTTTCATTTCTGACCCTGCTACAAATTGCCAGGGTTATAGTGGAGAAGATTATCGTACAGGTACATAGGGGAACAGAAATGAGATTTGTGGGAACCTCAGTGGCACTGTTTGTATTTGTGAGCTTACAGCCATCAGACAAGGTCGGGTAATGAGTAAGCTGTACCCCTAACACAAATTGTGTCTGGGCTACAGATACAGTTTGTATCTGTACAATTTGTATCTGGTTTTTCAGTCTGTCAGTCATTTTTTACACTGAGACCTGGAAGCCTGCAATATATGTTACCAGTTGAAGTGCATTTAACCAGAATGCTAATTGTAGGCATTAATTTTGGCATTTTACAAACGTTTGTTAATCAGACTCCTTCAGGAAAGTGACCGCATGGGTATTTGCAATCATATCAATTGTTAAGGACCCTGATGCAGCCAGTGTTTAATTCCATTAGTGTGCTGACAGACACGAGCTGATCTTGGGATTCAGCTTTGTCCAACGTAGGAGTACGGTTTCCCAAAATTCCTCAATGAAAGTTTTGCAGTTGCGTGGTTGTGTCGTTTGCCACTTTCCTTTTCTGGACTGGTAATTGTTTGCTGCTTTTGAACGTTGAATAAAATTACAACAGTTTTGTACATTATTAGAAATGTATTAAAAATAAAAGTAATGTTTTGAAATAAATGGATGTTATTTCAAACTTCTTAGTGCTGTCTGTGCAACGAGCGTGAACAATCACAAGGTAGCCTAATGTCCAGAGGAGCTTTTTTTCCTATCCTCCTTTCATAGTTCTTTGATCCTGCACATGCCAGATCTTTCTTTTCCCGCCTTGCATTTTATAACAGTAACTTTTCCTACTTGACTGCTATTAAAAACTATTCGTTTTCCTGTTACTGATTCCCAAAGTATCATCCTTTTTTTTTTTTCCCCTCTCTGAGGAGTTTCTGCTATTGTTACTACAGTTCTTTTTCTTTGCCCAGCAATGCAGCCTTATAGGCATGCTGGAAATGCCAAATTCCTTCTTTTGTTTGCCACATTCTCAACTACCAAAGTCTCGGTCCCCTCTCAGCTGCTTGACTTCCCAGTCCTCCAAACCCAATTTCTTCTGCTCAGTGATATGCCCTCTACCAGTGCTTGCTTTCCTTTTCAATTGCCTAAGTCCCACCTGCCGTTTTCTACTTGTTCAATTCCGAATTTTCAGCTAGGGCTTCTGTTTCCAGCTGCTGTATAGAGTGTACATAACAACTTCTCTTTTAGCATTGCATCTTCTCTCCTAAGCCAGTGACGGCATCCAGAAGAGTCCGTTCATTTGAGGGTTAAGTGGGGGGCAGAATTGCGGCAGGTGCTCTCTAAACAGGCCACTTCATCAAGTCTTCACAAGAAGTCCTTCCCCCCTTTGCTGCAGACTTACGAGTTTTGAGAACTTAAAGCTGATGGAAGTTTACCATTTTTCACGTTTGGAGGATTTTATTTTATTTTTAATAAAAAAAAGTTATGCGCACATACCCTGGTGTGTGCTTTTTTTGCACCTTTCTGGTGCAGCTTTTGTCAAAAAGCGTTGTGAAGTCAGCAGCACAGGTGGCGGACTGCTTCTGCCCTGTGACTACCAGTGTGAGCCCTGCTTCAGCATCACTTCTTGTGACTGGCTTTTGCTTCCTTCTCTCAGGCCCTGGTTTCAGTTCAGGGGTTTTTCAGACTAGTAATTTTTGTCTCAGGCTATTTTTTTCTAGGGGTAGTATTCCAACAATCTTAAAATAAAATAAAATAAAAAAGGTAAGATTCTCCGTGCATGAATGTTTTGGTGACCGAACATGTCAGGAAGCAAGATGTGTTGCAGTCCCCGTGAACGTCTTCCCAAATACCGCTGCGATGTGCCTTTCAGACCTGCAGCTTGCACGTGAGCCGTGAAGATACGCAAGAGTTGCCAGCATCGAGTCGCGATTTTTCACTTCAGTGAGTACCTCCTGATGAAGGCTGTACTTGTGCCTCTCCTGTAGGACAGACAGCTTTTGAGATTAACCGGAGTACACGTGCAGCAGCCTGGTGTGGTGTCTGCGGGCCTCAGGCCAGGGTTCGTGTGTTTTCCTAAAAATGGCTGCTTTCAATGGCTTTTCAACTAATGAGCTGCAATATTGCAAGTTGGTCAAGGAGGTCTTTCTCTTCCAGGTTCATGCTGGCAAAATTCCTGGCAGGCAGGAGGTTTAAAGAAAAAACTGAGTGATGCAAATACACAGAAATAAATGCTGGTGAGGTTTGCATTGGCAGGGTACAGACAAATGTACTGGAGGCTGGGGAGAGAACAGCATATAAGCCAGTTAGCAGAAAAGGGGAGGGAGCACAATGAAGCAAGAAGCTGAGTATAAGGGAAGAGACTTTGATTTGATCAAAACCGACTGGCTTCGAAATAAAAATAAAATAAAAAAACAGTCAAAATACAACAGGACTTGGAATGCATTCGGGAGCGCGTTGGGTTGTTCTGACAAGGGCGGGCTGAAGAGGAAGGCACTGAGAATTTGGTGCTGTGGTAGGGCCAGCTGCAGAAGGAACGTGGTGCTTCTAGAAGTTGAGGATAGGAAGCTAACAGAAGGGCAGAGGATCGGGAAGAGGATAGATTGGAAGGGATCGTTTGAAAGGAGTCAGAACCAGGCCAGCACAGCTGTCTGGAAGGGGTCATGGAAAGCCTGGGTTAGAGGAAAGGAAGGAGCATTGCGTGCAGCAGTTCACTGATTTCTCATAGCGTATGATGGGCTGCATTACGGCAGCAAACACTGTAAAATAATTTCAAGGACTATTTTTTCTCCTTTGGCCCCTGAATTAATTTGCATTAGATTCCTTTTTTTTTAAATTTTTTTTCTAAAATAGCCATTGACCCTTTAAACAGTGTGTTCTGCTCTGACTCTTGCAGGGCTTTGCAGTTGTCTGAGTCAACTAGCTGCTTCTCCACCTCCCCAGTGCTCAGAGAAGAGGCATAAGCTTTGGAGAAAGGTCATCACTCTGTTTTAAAGGCAGATAGCATAGATGATGAGGGCTTCTTAGGAGATACTTTACCTAGGAGGGGGAATCCTCTGAAATAGACCTGAGCTGAAACACCTTCAAGATCCAGTCCGTGCTAGAGTTGTTTCAGAAGACAGTCAAAAGCAGTGGTTGTGTAGCCTGCCTTCCCTGATGCGTGGCGTGGTCTCAATGCTTTTCAGCCATTCTGCAAAGTGTCCTGAAAGTGGAATGAGCAGGGATCCTTGTCAGTACAGAGCGCTGTGCTAGCAGGTGACCTCTGTGCCCCATTTCCATCTGATACCATAGTTAATTAGGCTTGCTGCAAGTTGGCAGTACCTCCAGAAAGCAGTCCCAACAAACTGGTCTACAACGAAACCTTTCTTGGTGCTAGTTAATTTTTTGTTTCAAACTGCATGAATTTTCTGATCTTAATCATTGCACAGTGCACGAGCACTGAGGGTGGGGCCGTTTCCTACGGTACTCGCTTCAGCTGGTCTTGCAGCTATCCCGTGTTCTCCCATTTGTGGTTGACAAGCAGAGCGCTTTCTAGGTCAGTGTTTTGTCCATATATTAGGATAGGGATAATAGGGAACGCTGAGTAACAGGGAACACAGCTATTTTTCCAAAGTTAGTAACCTGGAGATGGCAGAACAAGGAGTGGAACTCATGATCTCGTGTCCTAGCACAGTTCCTGTTGCTTAGGCTATAGCCTCCCCCAGAACCCTAGCTATTTCATTTTCTTTAGAAACATTTAGTATAAATGTGCATGTAGCCTGAGTGGCTTCTTTGTGCTGGCTCTTTTCCTGTTGTATTACACCCATTTTAGGGACCTCATTTTCTATAAGAGCTTCTTTTCTTGAAAAGGATGCTGCCAACAAGAATTTCCCATCTTCCCTTGGAGGTTAAAAAAAAAATCTCTTACACCCCTTTGGATTTTTATTTTACTTTCTGTCTTAACTGTTTCTTCATTTTGATGGCTAGCATTGTTCCAAGATTAAGATTCTCTACTTCAAACCTATATTTTATGTCCTTAATATTCCAGATGGATATTAGGTACGATTTTAATCTTGAGAAGTGTGTTTCTTACTGAATTGTGTACTAATCCTGAATGGTGTTTTTTCATATACAGTATTCAAGGCAAGGTAACTCATGAAAACACCAGTGGTTTGTTATTTTTTACAGGTGACTTAAAACCTTCCTTAAGATACCCCTTCCATTTTCCTCATTAAACTGTATCCTAGTCCGTTAACCAGGATCTCTAACAGATAACCAAACTGTCAACAAGAATCTCACATGCCAACAGGATTTAGAGTTCAGGCCCAGCCTCAGGAGGTTTGTGGTGCTCGGTGTAACATCGGAGCACAGGGACACTGCCTTATCCCGTAGTTCTGAGCTACTAACCTGAGTTTCAGAGTGGGTTTTGAGACCGCTGATGAGCTGCTCGTTTTCAAGGGCAGATTTCCAGATCATAGAGGTAAAAGTAGTCTGGTTATTTAGAAACTTAGTTATAAGTAAAAAAAAATCCTAGATTATTCTTCTCAGTCTTGAATTACAAAACAGTTGGCCATGGAATCATGCTAAGATTAAAAGCCTTGATTGTTTTTCTATACCTTTTTTGTGGATTACCTAACTACTGCTTATTGTAAGAAAAACTGTTGACTAAATAGACTGTAGCCTCGATTGCAATTCCATGTACTGTTTTTCCTTACATCCACATCTCTCTGCATGTGTGGCATTAACTAAAGGGCTAGCAGAATTCAGTCACTCAGGTTTTTTTTCCTGTGGTGAAAGCCAGCATCTGAGTTCACAGAATACAATGCTATGTATTTATTTTATAGCTTAATCCAGTAATACTGAAAATTAGTAACAGCCTTTCAGATTCAGTAGACTTCTTAAGATCCCATATTGAAAATTGCCTGGGTAAAAAATTGGTATCCAAAGAGATGGGCGGTTCTGTGAGATATGTGTAGAGTTGTGACTGTCACTGAGCAATCACTATCTTGTTTTCTTATTAATGCACTTCATTGTGAGATGCTTTATTATTTTGTAATTATTTTGTGTGTGTATATATGATACAAATGTGATATAAATCTTCCTGGTAAGTTTAGTGACATAGCTGGATCATTCCATCAGACTTGCTAATCAAGTGTGTGAAGTGTGTGTTTCATCAGTTATCTGCTTCTGAAACTCCTACTGGCACTGGAGATATTTTTTTATATATAGTAAAGGCTCTGGTGTTATGGATGACCATGGGTGAATTGTCAGCTTTATTGTAATTCTGGGGACAAAAAGGTCTCATTATTTGTACCATCATTACCACCGCTTTTCTTTGTACATTTTTCTTTTCTTTAGTATAACTTCAGTTCTTCAATTTACTAAATGATGCCTGAAGTTCTTAATAGCTCTTAGCTTAGTTAACTAATGTAATAATATTTAACTATTTGAAATAACTTTTTTTTTTCCATTGACTTTCTTTCCAGATAAGTCATTCATTGCGTTGTGTCTATGTGGAAAGTAACATAAAATGTTGGTAGTATTTACATAAAAATACAATAAAACTTGGCTTGTATTTAACTAGTTCTTGTTCTGTATTTATATTTTGTATTTACGCTTTGTGAATCCTTTCTTTCTAGGTAGACAATGTTACTAGCTCAGATAAATCGAGACTCTCAGGGAATGACTGAATTTTCTGGAGGAGGAATGGAGGCCCAGCACGTGACTCTCTGTCTGACAGAAGCTGTAGCTGTGCAAGGTAAACATTCAGTTAAAATATCTGTGCGTTATTGTGTCTTTTCTGTTAGAAATTTAGATAAAACTCTAAAACTCAGGTAGCGTATCCTAAATGAAGAATCTAACACAAATCAGAAAATTATTTCTTAGTTAGCTGAGATTGATTAAACTCACTGATAGAATTCTGAAAGAGAACAATCCCTTAATTAAGGTAATGGGAGTATAAATGTGCCAAAATAAGGACTATGAAATGTGACTTAATTCTCACGATAGATATACTGTTTTATACTTAGTAACTGTCACCTAAGTATATATTAAAGTAGTTCAGTTTTAAAATAGATTGCTGATTTAGGATTGTTTTAAACTTGATGTTTTCTTACAGCTTTGTTATGATTTTAATTGATTTTTTTTTCGTAAATCTATTTTAATCTAAACAGATTAGCATATATTAATGATAGGTAATAGTGTACAGAACAAAATTATTGCCACAAATGTATATCACCATTTCACTGTTGGGGCTCATGACCTAATTAGTATTTCTCCCAAAACCTGAACTTTGTAGTCATCTATTCAATGACAGTAAATTTTTCAGTTAAGGCAAATAACGTTGTAGCTGTCATGTTTATAGAGCGAGTATATTTTCAAAGCTCAAAAACCAGAGAGCAGATAAGAACTTGTTACCTATTATTATTTCTAAAATCATTGTGTTTTAAATGATGTCATTATTTTTGGAGTTACTTAACTACTGATTTTTAAGGTTTGATGCTGCTAATAGTAAATATGTTTTTTGTTTCCTAACCAGATGGTGACAACTTAGAAAATATGGAAGGTGTAAGTTTGCAAGCAGTTACCCTTGCTGATGGCTCCACAGCTTATATACAGCACAATTCTAAAGGTAAGTCAATGGCTAGAAGTTTACTTGTATTGGCATTGTATTCGCCTGTTTAACCCTGTCTTTGGAATATAAACCCATTGTATTGTAAAATCAGGGAAAATATTTACAGTGTTTACAAAGCTGTAATCTCATTTGGGGTTTTACAGTAATAATATAAAATAAATGTTTATTTCCAGTACTAATAAAGTGCAGCTATCAAAGCTTAGGACATAAGTCAAACAGAAATTAAATGATCTTTATTCCTCAAACCCAAATATCAACATTCTGCCTAGTGGATAGGTAATAATAGCTAATAGATAATAGTACTTTATGGTGGATAAATTTACTTCAACGATCATGCCTTTTATCCCCGTTTTTTGTCCCAGAATTTAAAAACCATCATTATACAGCCATATTGTGCTTCATCTTTACCAGTGTTTCTCTGTGACTTTTACTGATACTTTAATACTGAAAGTATCAACTGTGTGTTTAAAGTGTGAACGGTCATGCAGAATATTTTTAAAGAATCTCACAATGTATTTCAGATGGTAAATTGATGGATGGCCAAGTGATTCAACTAGAAGATGGTTCTGCAGCTTACGTTCAACATGTACCCATGCCTAAAAGTAGTAAGTGTAATAATACAAGATATGTATTTTTAAATACCGTATTACTGGCAAGTATTGATACTGACTAATTAATGCTCATGAGAACAGCTTCATTTCTCATCTTAATGCAAACAGTTTTGAAGAGATTGTTTTTGTAACTAATGGATTTTTCAAACTATTGTTGAAGCATTGTAATTCTTTCTTCCAAACAGGGGACAGCTTGCGTCTGGAAGATGGACAGGCAGTTCAGCTGGAAGATGGAACTACAGCATTTATTCATCACACCTCCAAAGGTAAATGTTTTTTGAAGTGTGATTTATTATTACGGTTCAACAGAACTTCACCAGTATAAAATATGGTACTGTATTTAGACGATGACATCATTATTATGATTCCCATTGTAGGTTTTTTTTTCTCTTTTACATGGTGTCATCTAGAAAATACTGAAATTAGACTGGTTCAGTTCCTTATTAGGATCACATTTTAAAGATATGCCACTTACAATTTGTCATTAGGTAGTAGGGCAGAAAATGTGACAACTGACAGTTAAGAATGCAAACACGTTTATTTTAAATGATAACCTAGGTTTCTGCAGAATCTGTTTACACTAGTCTTAGAAACAGTCCTATTTCTCTTCAAAAAGTGAACAAGTAGCTATTTTAAGTTTGTTTAGACTACTGTAACAAGAATTGCATTCTACAGTCAAAAATACGAGAAGAGAATATTACAAAGAATTTATTCTTTAAGTCATCCTATGCTTTCTGTGTTTATTTTGCATATATTTTATTTGTATGATTATTTTCTTAAAATGATTGGATGTTTGAATTCTAAAATCTGAAGCATATGTGACAAATATTTTAAATTTTCTTGAATGGATTAGGAACTGAAAGCATATTTCTAGTCCTGATTTCCTTTGTAAATAAAGCTAGACTGATAGCAAACTGGTTATGCATTTCTGCAGCTGTGCAGAAGTAGAAGATACAGATGTTGTCTTGAAAGAACTTAATCAGTGCTATTCATAGTAATGTTTTCAGTGATTTTATTTCTCTCATATTTCATACATATATATATATATATATATATGTATATATATGTTTTTTGGAAACATTTTCTAAGTAGCAGTAGTTTCTCATGTTATCTGCAGATATCAGTATTCCTTTTCATTCATAACATTTCATAATGTTACTTCTCAGACAGTTACGACCAGAGTGCATTACAAGCAGTCCAGTTGGAGGATGGGACTACTGCCTACATTCACCATGCAGTACAGATGCCACAGTCAGATACCATTTTAGCCATTCAAGCTGATGGCACAGTGGCTGGTCTTCATACAGGAGATGCTGCCATTGACCCAGATACCATCAGTGCTTTGGAGCAATATGCAGCTAAGGTATACTGAAAGACATTTCATCTATCCATAATGTTTTAATGTCACATCATGTGATACCTGGCGGCAAAAGCCAATTGTGATATATTGTGAAATAAAATGACAAGAGAGTCTTCAGACTCTTAAAAGAGAGAACACCAAATTGTCATGACGGTGCTTCACTGTCACAGGCAGCTCCAGTATGTGTGCATAAAGAGAACAAGAAATTGAACGCCAAAATGATGTGAGTCAGGCTGATTTTGAAACTGATTTAGACAAGTAAATAATTACTTTCTCTAAGACATAAAATATAGTGTGATACTAAAAATTCATGTCCTGCACCTTAATGGACCCCTGTAAAGCATGACCCAACTGTTACAAAGGACATTGCAACTTTTCTGACTTTATAGTTCTCAGTGTGTCGATTCCTGGATGATTACAATCTGTGCTTCTGTTTCTCTGGAAAAGAGTAGAGTTAGTTCTAAATTCTGTTAGCATCTTTATTGTTACTGGGAAATGTCAAATTCTGGGAGAAGGCCAGTTAGGATAATTAAATGGCTGATAACACCATTCGTTCCATTATATTTGTGTGTGTTACAACTGAGGAGAACCTAAGAGAGCCAGTTGGATTGTGCTATGTTTGGCTATGCCTTAACATTTCATAAAATAAAAAGGTTATTCAAAGTTAGCTGAGCTGTAGTGACAAGCTTTTACACATTGCCAAGCTATTATTGCATTTAGATTTAAATTAATCATAACTTTGTCCTTTTTGATAAGGATCCATATTAATACCAATTTGTTGTAAGAGTAAGTTTTTGTTTTAAGAAGAAATAGAAGAAATGCAAATATATTTGCTTTTTTGTCCTATTTCCTTCAACATGTGTTTTTTACTTCTGTAACATGAAGTTGTATTCTGAAGTATGCTTCTGTGTATCTAGGAAAAACTACTTAATTTCTTTCAGCTTTCATCTCAGAACCTTATTCTGAAAGGTGCTGCTAGAATTTCTCAAGGACAGTCAGTAGAAGTGAGTTTCCAAGTACTTCATCTACATTACTTACAAAAGTAAATAGTAGCTGAGTTGTTACACCCCTGTTTTTCTCTTAAAAAGAGAAATGGGGTTTTATGATTCTGCTCCATGTCCATGTAGGCCTCATAGTAAGACAATGTATACTTTTCATAGAAGCTGGTACAGAACATTGAAAAAGGTACAGAAAGGGGCAACAGTGATGACTTAGCAAATGAAATATGAGGTAAGGATAGGAGATAATTTTATAAAATTTTAAGTGGCACAGAGAAGAGTGGTGGCTTGTCATTGTCTTCACCAATATAGGAACTGGGGACCATCAAATAAAACTCTCAGGTCACAGGTTCAGGGACAACAAGGGAATGATCCTTTTTCAAACAACATGAAGTTGAGCCATGGCACTACTTGTAGAATACTGCGCATGCTAATATGCCCCTGGATTCAAAGGGTAATTAGACAAATCATAGAAGAAAAATGTGTCCAGGGCTATTAGGTAGAAACATCTGACTTCTAGTTCAGGAAGTTTCTCAGCCACAAATTGCTTGGAGGTTGGGAGTGTATTTCTGGGAATCTATCACTGTTTGCTTGGCCGGCTCCTGCAGTCTTCCCTAGGATCTGCTACTGGCTACTATTTGAAACAAAATGGTGTGCTAGATTGACCTTTAATTTTACTCAGTATAGGTGTCCTTATGTTTGCAATTGCAGGCAGACTAAATCTGTATTTAGAATTTAAGAGAGTCTTTCATGAAAAACTCAAAGATCTTCCTTTGGAGCAAAATTCTCTTTTAGGCATAGTACCACTTAGCCATGTCTTGCAGAGCGCATATAAAGACTAAATAAAATCCTCTTAATTTTAGGCTAAGTCTACACTATCTTACTTTCAAAGCAACCAGTAAAAAAAAGAGATTATTGCTTTCAGTCAATATAAAGTCAGAGGATATGGAGTGGAATTGCAAAGAGGAATTCCGACTAGATTTAGAGGCACTGGTCTCAGCCTTAAGTGTAATGGATGCAGAGGGTATTGTGATTGTGAGTGCTCAACAAAGAGGCATTTATAAAAGGGGGAACTATGTAAAGTACACTTTAAAATAGTTTTTGTTTTCTGCAGTGACTAATGAAACACTGAGTTGATGCGTGTGAGAGAGTATTAAATAATGATTTCAAATTAATACATAATAGTCTTTCAAATGTTTTTCTAAGCTCCTTGGAAAGCAGAGATACCTTTCTCTTCCTGTAAACTGTATTTAAAAATAAACATCCGGAGCAATATGCGAGTCTTTGCCTAGATGTTATATTTTTGCTATTTTGAGTTGAGATGTAATACGCTGCTCAGGTACTTTGATTCCAAAGGAGCAGTGCATTTGGAAATAAGTAGCTCTTCTTAACAGGGAGTGAGACATGCTACCCTATTATTTAAAAAAAAAAAAAAAGTGTGTAATTTTTTAAAATTTGGAATTCACTGTTGCTAAATGTATAAGCTTATTACAATATTTTTTGAAGTTTTTTAATTTAGCACATGTGGTTCTTGTAGTCTTTTCAACCTTGTTTTAAGACAATCTTGAAATACTTACTGTACCTATCGTATAATGTAGGTGCTACAAGTGGTGCTTTTCGTGTTAACAGATGGGATAATCATGTTTCAAGAGGGAGCTAGAGAGCTATGAGAGAACAAGGAACTCAGGAACTGTAACTCTATTTTTCAAATGAATAGAAGTAACTTGAAAATGTTTTTACCATTTCAACTTCATTTTTCAGGTCTCTATTGATGGAAATGACAGTGTTAGCGGCACAGGAATGATAGGTGAAAATGAACAAGATAAAAAAATGCAGGTATGTAGCACAATATGAAATAACGTAATACATCTATTTCTTCATTATTCCCTGTGCCCAGTAGCATGCACAATAGGCGGCCCTGTGTAGCCATGAACTAGATTTCACTGCCACCTTTTAGGAATTTTAGACTTCAAAACTATGCATGTCACATACAGATCATATTCCTCTCTGTCCAAGATCCATTCACATGATTTTAAAAAGACCTTCAAATACTGTCTCTGTCTTTTTTCTTCCCTTTTTTCTTTTAAAGCATAGTTAAAAATTATGTTGGATTTCTAAGATCTGACTTTTTAACCTGAGTATTTCATCAGTGAGGGGGGTAAGTATTTCAGAAGTTCTTTTCCAGATCTTGAACTTCCTTTTTATATTCCTTAAATGAGAAGGAACACTGAATCGAGTAATTAATTAACTTCTTGTCAAGAAAGATTAATTCTAGACATGTGCCTCCGATTGTTCTTTCTTTGGTACCTTATTTTCATTCCACTTGCCCTGTGAGATTCCCTTATTTTTATTTCAGGTTTTGTAAGCAGTCAGTAGTTGAAGGTGCTGTTCTAGTGAACCCCCTAAAGAAGCAGAAAAATACTACCAGTTCTTCTGCAATCATGTTATTATGTAGAAGTGTGTGTGTGTGTATATATATATATACACTCACAACCCATTTCAATGTGAAAGTATTGATTTAAAATTTCTAAGGGTAATGGAGAATACAGGTTAAACTTACGAAGTCTGAGGACTTTTTTTAACCTGGGATTTGTAAAATTGTGTAAGGACAGCGGTCTTCCTCACCATAGAACACTCCATTAAAGAAAAATAAAAAAAAAAAAAAGAAAAATACATTGTAGCCTTCAAAGAGTTATGAACAAGAACAGAAAATAGTAACAAGACCCTATACCCTCACATGCTCAAATGACAGAATCAGAAATGTTAAGTCATTTCACTGAGAATGATAGAGTCATCAGAGAAATACTGCTTTTTGTGTAATTTAAGAGGTAATGAACTAGATAACAATGAAGAATATCTTCCAAGGTAAAATATCTTACAATACCCATGAAAGGTAGAATTATAGGCTCACCTTTGACAGTGACCTTAAAATCCTTTTTTGTTTTTTTTTTTGTTTGTTTCTAAGTTAGGTCCCACAATATTTAAAGCCAAAGATGCTCCACAGTTGTGTGTGTGGCATGACTTTGAAAGGAGAGAAAAGCCAATACATACATTATCTATGGTATTGGAAAATATTCCATAAAATGAAATCAAGAAATGAAATCAAGAAATGCAGACTTTTAGGTTTGATTAGAGATACAATTCCATCAAAATGCAAAATTCAAGGAAGAGCAGAATATGGTTTTGGTTGGTTTTAATTAAAAGTTAAATAAGAGCCTATTAAACAAAGTGACCCGTTACCAATATCCAGTTACATGTTGACTTCAGCCTCAACCCCAAAACAAAATGAAGTGAATCAGAAGGTTGCTTTATCTTACACGTGTACGGCAACATGTATGCCATATGGGAATGAGCCAATCTTATGGAGCATTATGTGTTCCAAACAAACAATGAAAAAGATCTAATATTTCAAAAGGTATTAAGGCATAGTCTCAAATTCTGACCACTGTAAGGTGACTTCAGTTGGCCAACCAAAGAACTGAGGGGCCCAAAGCTATTGCTTATTTCTGAAAGTGTTAACTGTGGTTATATCATGGTGTGATCAGATACCTACTTGTAACTCGTTCGGAAATACTACGTTGCTTGAGATAAAATAGTTTAATATTTAGATATAGTATTAAATAAGTGTATATTTATAAATTCTTTATGAAGGTCACAGTAACACAAGAACAGAACAGATGTTATACTTCTGAGTAGTCATTCAAACCAGTTGCATATGGTTAGGGTTTTTACCAAAGTAAAAAACCGTAAAACCTCATTGTGATTTGTACATGTGAGAACAAAAGTCTGTGTGACCAAATGGATATCACACATTATTTCTTTTCACATCTGTCATACCCATCTGTTCACGATAAAAGCAGAATCATATGACTGGTTCATATGGATATGATATAAAAATCTTATCTGAGATTTCTGTTACCTTTGTTGTTCTCCTGTGCTACCTGTCTGAACTAAGTCAGGATGCATCTGTGATTACTTTTAAACTTTAGGGTTTGTTTTTTTTTTGTCTATTTAAGTGTTTTGAACAACAGAATTTCTCTCAAAGTGTCAAATTATTATAAAGGTGCTTTGTTGGTTATTTTGATTTTGTGCCTAACATCTAAATTTTTTATTTCTTTAAAGAACATTATCTTCTAAGAACAGTAATTTTAATACAATATCTGTTCTTGCTGAATAATACTAACTGAATTCTTAATAATTTTCAAGTCATACCAATTAATGTGTTGTGAAGATGTGTACTTCTGCAAACAGTTGTTTGACCAAACAAATGCTCATGATTTTCAACTGATTTTTTCCTGCGTGTTTTATCCTTTATCCCAGTCTTTGTATTGATAAAATGCCTGGTTATTTCCTTGTGGATACTAGAAATAGCACATTGATTACAGAATTGTTTAAATTTTCTTTTAAACTTTGACATCCCTCAGCTTTATAGCAGATCGTAGCTACTACATACATACTGTTATATGCTAAAACTGCAGAAAAAAATGCTAACAGTTTTCCTGACAGGAAAAAATAATCCAAAAGTGTTGGAGTGTACATACTTAGCTAAGGTTGTGTTACCGGTGTGTCTTCTCCGCATTAGGCAACGCATTGCCAGCAGGTTGAGGGAGGTGATCCTTCACCTCCTTCATCACTGGTGAGACATACCGGGAACACTTGGTGCAGTTTTGAGCAGGCTCTTAGTGGTTGACAATGACAGGACAAGAGGCATTTGGCACATATTGAGGTATAAGAAATTCAATTTAAATGTGAGAAAAAAACCTTTTGACTCTGAGAAAGACTGGACACTAGCACAGGTTGCCCAGAGACCTTGTGGTGTCTCTGGAGATGCTCAGAACTCACCAGGACACTGCCACGAACAACATGTTGCAGCTGACACTGCTTTGAATGGTGGAGCTGCAGCAGGGCTGCCTTCCCATCTTAACAGTTCTGCGAAATGCTCTTTGACAATGTGGAATGGAATCAGATCCATAAGAAAAGGGGGTGGTTTGAAAGGATATTATGTATGCTATTATGTATGTTTTCCTGTTGTGTCATGCAAAAAGAAGAGTGCAACCTAGTTGTAGTTGTTCCAGTTAGTTTGATCAAAACACATGCATCACTGAAAAAGTACAAAATGCTTTCCTTCATTTTCAAAAAGTGCTCATTATAAGTGTATTTAATCATTGTTCAGCCTTTGCATGAACTTATCTTTGAAGGTGGTCTGACTTACATCTAACCTCCCTTAGGAACAGAACCAGTGCCTTAGGTGTAATCTAAGCCTTTTCTTTCTAACACTTGTTTTACCACTGAGCTTATTTTTCAAATTAATTTGTATTTGTTGTTGTTTGACTAATTAATGAACACATTTAAATATATTAGCTACAAGTAAATATGCTTTACATTTTCTCTCTTTCATCAGAATCTATGCTTTTTATTTTTTGAGGGCTAAGGAATACATGGCATAGCAAAGAGAGACAAAAGAAACCTGTTAGAATCCGCTCTGACTTAACTACAAGTAGGGTGTGACTTTCCCAATCCTTTGTATTTTTTTAATGATTTGTTTTTCAATTTAAGATTGTCTTGCAAGGACATGGAACAAGAGTGACTGCAAAATCTCAGCAGAGTGGAGAGAAAGCATTCCGCTGTGATTATGATGGCTGTGGAAAACTGTACACGACAGCTCACCATCTTAAGGTGATGAGATGTAAAATGAGCTTTTGTAAATGTACATTTTGTAGATGTAAAATGTACTTTGTAGGTGTGATTTTTTTAAAAAACAAATTATATGCTTGAAGTTATAGAAATGGATAGAGAGATAATTGCAATGGTGATGTTTTGTTAAATGTTTACTGGGTTGATACTACAATAATTGGTTGTCTCAGATGTTCATCCAATTTTGCTTAGTGTTCTGAGGTGATGCACTTTTTGAAAACTGAGCATCTAATAGACTATAGTCATGGGCTAAAAAAAAATATAATCTTTATCTGTTAACGTTATATAAAATGTGCACTATAGCTTGAAAAAGAATACATATTGGCTGTAAATGGTACTTATTTAGCTGGTCAGATTAAGTTGGATGTAGATGTGGCATCATGTTGGGCTCTTATATTGCCAGCATGTAATAATGTAGGTTCTTGTAGGTTCCACCAGCAGTATCACAGTAATTTTGAAATCCAGTGTTCACTTTGTTTAATCTACGTGTATGCATGATCATGCAAGAATTCCAGATTCTGAAAGATTTTTTTCATCATAAGTCTAATTCTTCAAAACAATCGAACATTCAAAGTGAAGAGCTGGAACGTTTTCTTTACAAATGGCAACTCCTTATTTCTCTCTTGTGTTTTGTTTTTTGGTTGCTTGTTTTTGTTTTTAAATAATTCAAAATATTACTGGAAACTGAAAATGTAGAGAGGTAACCACTTGCAGATGAGGTGAACTCCCTGCAGTGGAGAACTGTTGAGTCAGTGAGTAACTGGCTGCATGGATTATATGCCACAATGGTGTCCTTGCTGCAGAGATTTCATGCAACGCAAGAGGATCAGTAGAAGTTCTCAGTGGAGTTAAAAATCAAGAGAGAGTGGGCCTGAGGCATTTATGCATACTGTCTTTTGTAGTTGCATGTTGTCAATTCCACATATATTTAAAGAAATGTTTTTTGCAAAACTAACTCAAAAGGCTAGACCTTTGAAGGAGACATCTGTAATTTTAAGGAAAATACTGCTACCCTATTCTGTTAACTTCTATGACTGAGTGAAGGACATCTTAATGTGAATCTTAGGAGGAGAAATAAAATGTATTGTCTTTGAGAATGAGCTGTTTGTTTTGAAGTAATCAGATGCAACATTTCACTAAATCAGTGTATTGGATGTCTTGGCAGGTACATGAAAGGTCACACACAGGAGACAGACCGTATCAGTGTGAACATCCTGGATGTGGTAAAGCTTTTGCAACAGGTAATCTTTTGTAGACTAGCTCTTACTGCTTGCTAATGTTTGTCCATATAAGATAAGTTTTTAGTATTTTTTTTTAAACTTCTAAGTTAGAGAACCTGCTTGGGAATACATTTATGAGAACTACAGAAAAAAGTAATTTCAGATAGAGCAGCAGATGGAAAGGAAGAAGGGGGAATGAGGTGAAACACTTAACACTTTCCCTTAGTCTTCAGCTGTCATGCTACAGTCATATTTTATCTTGAGAAAATAGCCCTTTCTTAAGGTAAAACTAAGAATATAAATTAAATGAGGTGATAATAAGAAGCTGAACCTGCTGGCTGGAGGCAAACATATGATCTTCTGTTTCAAAGTTGAAAAGAATGTGGATGGGAGGTCCTCTTATTTTAGTATTCTTTATCTAATTGAATCAGGAAGACATTTCTCTTGAAGTGAACTCTGCATTTCATACTCCATTCATGTGTGGCTATAAACAGCTTTTTGTCTACTAATACCGTATTTGTGGTCAGAGCCATTGTACCACCTTAGTTCAACAACCCTTGCCTTTGGTATAGTTCTTGTTAAGTACCGAATGCTCTCATTTTAAATATTTATAACTTTACTGGGTTGGATCATGAAATTTAGTTTATTTTAGATTTAAGAATGAAGTAATGCTCTACTTGGTAGCCATCCTGTGTGTTTTTCAGAAATCAAAAATAGGATTTCTAGGTGTTTTAGGGATATATTGAGAACACACTGAAATTAAAGCAGGTGCCATCTTCTTACAGACTGTAACTTTACTTTGTGTAAATATACATCACTAGTGGACAGAAGGAAAATTCAAGTTACTGTTTTTAAATTGATTTTTGGGTGTTCTCTGGTCATGATATTTTCAGGGAAATGCAGAAGGGAAAATATTGGTAAAATGCTGTTTGCAAAATTGTTAACAAAGAGGATCTGATCCAAAGCTTGCTTTAGATTTGTAGAGTTTTTGATGATGATGAGTTTCTGAAAGTAGTCCTGTAGGGAGTGAGCATCTGTGACTGGTGTCAGTTGGCATGTATACATGTGATAATAATATGGTTTAAAAAATATTAGAATAACTTGGAGCCCAGATAGCAGTAGATATTATTACTATTGACTTCATTATTGATTTTCATGTGAGCTAATAAATGCCATTTAGATGATAGTGTTAGTATGAAAAAAAGAAGAAAAAAAAAGACCAGATAGAGAGCATACAGCTTCCTCAGAAGACAGGATTTGTCCACATTATAATCATTACAGTTTATCCCTCTGAAGGGAGTAAGAAGTATACTTTCTTAATAAATGAAGAAAGAAAAAAAATATAAACTGTATCTAGAGTTCTGTTGTTCTGTACGGTAGAATGAAGAGCTTGTACAGAGTGAAAGTGATGGTTTCGCTCTTTACAACCATCAAAAATGGTTTCTAATTTTGTATTTATACTGTTGTAACATCTTTTCCGATCTTCAGGGTATGGATTAAAAAGTCATGTCCGAACACACACTGGTGAAAAGCCGTATCGGTGCACGGAAGAAAATTGCACCAAATCATTCAAGACTTCAGGAGACCTGCAAAAACACATCCGAACTCACACAGGTACTATTGTCACTTTTTTTTTCTGGTTAATTCACGTATGTGGATTTTTTTCTCTGATTGCTCTGTTACTTTATACTTATGAAATGAGCCTGTGTATGTTCTTTCTGAAGCCCAGTGAGCTCAAAAGCGTTTCAGCATGGTTAACAATTTACTTCAAATCCAGCATGCTTTTATTGTAAGTGTGCTGAAGCATTCACACTACCATTGCAAACGCACCAACATTTCGCAGTGTCACTTACGTTGTCACTTGGTGCCTCTATGGTTTCATTTGCAGCTATAAAAGAACAAGGATCTTCACCTCACTAATCCAGTTTACCTTTTAGAAACGGCATCAGTGTTTTTACATTTTGGTGCTTTAAGATAAATTGCTTGTGGGGTTCATGAAGATTGATAGTTCTCAGATTATTGCTATCTCCATTTCCCTTCTTGCAGCAGAAAAATGAACAAACATATGCTACAAAAAAACAAATGTTAATAAATATTCCAAACGTGTAAAAATAAAACCATGTCCTTTGTGCAAATTGATGGAGTTGTGTGTGCTCATACTCCATGCAACAGTGCACCCAGTGGAGGCAAGCAAGTCCAGGGACACTGCCCGCTCTTGCATGGCTTTGAAACTTTATCTCACAGACCAGCGTTAGTGCTTCCTTCATTTTCTGCCTATTTCAGCCCAAAGTGATTTCAGTGGCAGGCCAGTCTCACTTCCTGCTGCCATCATGTGCTTTGCCTCAGCTTCCTGAGCCCCTGGATCACGGATTCTGGTGTCAGAAAAGCTGGTGGCACCAGGCGCTGCTCGGCTTCCTCCTGGCTCCTGTGGGGCAGAGCTTGAAAGCGCTGTGACCTGCTTTGCATTGCTGGTGCTGGAAGTCTCCGTCACCTGGAGACAGGTCACTTTTCTAGCAACTCCATTAGAAACATAAAGGCTGGCCTGGCAAACCAGTCGGATGGCATTCCTGCAGGCCTTCTCGGAGAACAGTCATTGTTTTGGTTTGTAATGGAGGGTCTGTCGTTGGGCGGGGTGACTGCGGCCCTGCGCCTTTCAGGCTGTAACTTGAGGTGCTGTGGTGAAGGAAGGATTAGGGGAGCCATGGTAACACAACACTGAGGCGTGTACACTCACATACGCTCTGCCTTTTGGCAGAAAAATGAAAAACCTTCCCGAAACAGCTGCCTTAAGGAGTGAATTACGGTTTCCTCTGCCAAGGAGCTAACTGCTTTGGAGTTTCATGGTATTAACGGCTGTATCAGGACTTCACTTTTTATTTCTGCCTTTACCACTACAGATACAACTTTAAATACTTAATCTGCCCTCTCTTGCTCTCAGATTGCTCTTCGGTAAACAGTACAGTGAGTGTAATGTGCTTAGCTCTAAGCAGTGTGAAATGACCACAGAACAGCGTGTCAGGTGTCTTGCACTTCTCCCAAGTCAGCCCCGCTTTGCTCTGCCCCCCAGCAACTCTATGTGCTTTGGTAGATCTGAAGGGTCAGGGAGATTAGGTAGGGACTGATCTTATCTGTCGTTCATGGTGAAGGTTTTGGTGGAATTCAGTGAGTTACCGTGTTTAAATTCATAATAGTCTTACTAACAACAACAAAAAATCTGTATTTGTGATTGCTTTCGGTTTTGGGGTTTGAAACTTGAGTTTCAAGGCTGTCTCTCTTTACAAAGTTGGCTCTGCTCTTTTAGGTTAAATGCTTTCTGTGGTGAGTTTTACTAATCCATCTGGATCTTGGTTATATACTAAATCATGAAGGTATTTTTTCATCTTGTTCATTACAATTGAGAAATACACAAATAGTATAATACATTTGTATTGAATAATGTATGTAAGAATTCGTATGGGGGTTAAATACATGTTAGAATATGGCACAGTATGGAAGCTAGTCAGCAACTGAGTCTGTTTTGTACATCATAAAGTACTAACCTAAATACTTCATAATTTAGATCACAGACTACAGTTTTCTGAAATTATGCCAGATATTGCTAAAGAGCACTCCACATTCACATGCTCATGGTTATTTCTGACTGAGGCTCTTAATTAGATAGCTTTGCATTCCAACATTTAGGGTAACTTAATGATTTTTGTATTCTTTCATATTTTCTCCATCTGTACCTTTTCTTTTTTTTTTTTTTTTCAGGTGAAAGGCCCTTTAAATGTCCTTTCGAAGGATGTGGCAGGTCATTCACAACGTCTAATATTAGAAAGGTTCACATCAGGACACATACAGGCGAAAGACCTTATTACTGTACAGAACCAGGATGTGGGAGAGCTTTTGCCAGTGCAACTAATTATAAGAATCACGTGAGAATACACACAGGTATATGAATGGTGTTTCTGTGTTTTGAAGGGAACCTGCTTGGGAGGGCCTGTGTCATTCTTTTTTTTTTTTTTTTTTTTGCACACTGTTTTGGTGCACTCTAATTTGGTATAGTCATGTTTATGTGACCTGAGCTGGTACTTTTGTTTGGGCCTTATCTCCGCTCAGCTGTGGAGAGGTAAGCAGTTAATTTTCCCTCCTTGCTGTCAAGGTATAAAAAATTTCATTTGGCTCCAAAGCTCTTTGAAATGAATGCGAAACTTTGCCTTCAGTGGACACCAGGTTAGATACTTAATATAGTTCTAGGGTTTGCCAGTGTTGTGAGATGTATATTAAGTAACAGCAAAGCATAAGCCTGAGCTTGACTTTGGCTCACCTTTGTGAGTCACCCTTTCATCTCAGTTGTATTTTCCTTGCTCCAGGAATGGTGATCAAATCCTTATTTTCATAGACCAGAGTTGAAAATACTTAGCCACCTTGATTGGCAGGGTTAGTCAGAAGAAATAATCTGCACAAATTAGAAGGCTTTAAAATGTAAGAGCTATTAATAGCTCTTACTATGTATATAATATCATCTTGGTAGCCTTATATACAGCCTTATATATTTTATAGAAATACAGGCAAATTTGATAATCTGAGATAAAAAACTCATCTCTATCTTTTTAGTTTATAATGTAATTTGGATGTTTGTTCATTGATTTTAAATTAAAGGTGCTTTTTATGTTAAACCCTGTTTGTTTAAACATATGCTTCCTGTAGATTTCTTCAGACCTTAAAGACTCAAAAGTAAAATAAATTCTACTAGTATAACAACATAGCTGATCACTGAAGAAAAGTACAGAGCTTCCACTAATACAGGAACAAAATTGTCAGTGCTGTGCCAAACTGACATTTAGATTGGTATCTTCCCAGAAGCCCATAGTGCTACGTATGTCACACAGGGATGCAGTTTCCATTTGTTTTCATCCTTAGGATCAGTTTCAAAAGATTCTGCAGATTGCATCTTTCAGACTGCATCATTCTGTCTTCATCAGAAGGACATTTTATATGGAATGATAGGGAGGAAAAAAGGGCCTAACTTTCACTGGCAGTTAAAAAAAAATAAAATAAAAATAAAAAAGTGAGAGGCTGCATTGATAAACTAGAGCTTCGATACTGCCTTTGAAATTGAAATTTGGTTGGTAATAAAGACGTGTCAGTAAATATCTACAAATTTGTTGTCAATTCTGTTTGTGCATCCTGGATAAAGTTCTCTTTACCCCTTCTGTTTTCCATACAGGGGAAAAGCCCTATGTCTGTACAGTTCCTGGTTGTGATAAACGTTTTACAGAGTATTCCAGTTTATACAAACACCATGTTGTACATACTCATTCCAAACCGTATAACTGTAACCACTGTGGGAAAACATACAAGCAGATTTCTACACTTGCTATGCACAAGCGGACAGCACATAATGACACAGAGCCAATTGAAGAAGAACAGGAGGCTTTTTTTGAGCCACCTCCAGGTTAGAGTTTCAGATTTTGAATCTCTTGTTGTAACAAATGGGTTGGATAATATTTTGCTGTTTTTTATAACCAAATGAAAACATAGATAAAAATCTGAGGATTTAATAAAGTTATTTAACTTCTTTGTAGGGCTTTTTAGCGTGGTAGTCAATTTGTAAACAGAAACCAAGCGTAATTGACCAGCTTATAAACCGAGTTTTATAGCAAACTGAGAATAAGAGAGAAAATAGAGCTGCAGCCTCAGCAAAGCTGCAATAAAAAATCCCACTATGAACATGAATGTAGGAAGGAACCTGCCAGAGTGTAAAATGTTTGGTTGCAACCTAGGGGATTTTTCTGAGTGCATAAAACACTACAGTTGCTGGCAGTCTTTGGGGAGGAATAAAGGTACTGCCTTGTGAAAAGAAAGAATCTTGTCTGTGCAGCACCCTGAGACTATGCTGGTTTTGCTGCAGTTAACAGCAGTTTCTGTGAACAGACCTAGAGGCAAAGATGAAAAAAAGCTTGAGTGTTGTGGGACTCCTTTAGAATGTTTTTTATGATTGGAGCATTGTATCCTGTGAATATAAAAAAAATAGGCTAAAGGAAGTATTTCAAGAACAGCTACAAATGCTAAATTCTGATTTTAGATGTGACTAAGATAAGAAATACAGATACAAACTGTTTTGGTCAGATTAGTTGTTCTATTTTACTACAGATATTTGGGAAACTGCACTAAATGCCTCAAGCAAATTTGCAATAGTCTAATGCCATCTTTTAAGAGCATGATAAGATTCATTTGTTGAGGTTAAACATTTATTAAGATAATTAACGCTACTTAAATCTTCACACAAAGGCATCACTGTATTCTTCTGTATGTTTGTTAATGAATAACTCTTTGAAAAACTGCCGGTTGTGTTCTCATGAAGCCTCTTGTATGGAAAGGTTAATGTTTGCAGAATGAATTAGAGTTGTCACCTTTTTAATGTTTGCTTATGAACTATATAAATACTACACGTGATGAAAATACACATTTAGATGTGTTGTAACTTATTGATAGAAGACTGTACCCCGGCTTCTAAAAACAATTAATTTGAGACTTGATGACTTGCGTTTGTTGTTTTTCCTTCTTTTGTTTTTCTCATCTTTCCACTACCATTTTTCTACTGAAGTATTTAAAAGCCTTCAAACCAGGCTGGCGTTTAACTGTTGTCATTTATATTTTCCTGCCAGTCTTCAGAGTATGTAAACTACCCTCTTGCTTTCTTTGTGTCAAATAGGTCAAGGTGAAGATGTTCTCAAAGGCTCACAGATAGCCTATGTGACAGGTGTGGAGGGAGAAGATGTAATTTCTGCACAGGTTGCTACAGTTACTCAGTCAGGATTAGGTCAACAAGTAGCACTAATTTCCCAGGATGGAACCCAACATGTAAGTAACCTGTGTGCTAAAGAAATGACAAAAATATGTTGAGAATTAAGGTTGGTGGTTGTGTACGCTCCATGCACTTTCTCAAATCAGTTAGGATCCTTAATAAGTATGTACATGGATTTCTTATGGAAATAAATTTCTTTGGAGCTCATGTAGTATCTTTAAGGTTGAGCTTCCTCTGGAATACATAAATTACACCACATATTCTGATACCTGAAACTGTATCAATACAATTCAAAATTTTTTTTACTATCCTTGTTATCTTTGTCACTGTTAACAACTCAAAGTCTATTGTGCTCACAATGTCGGCACAGGCTATTACAACAACTGTTACATCTACAGCCTAGTTTCTGGGTTCACAGAATTCCCTGACTTTTCTATTAATATTTGATGATCATCTTCACTGTTGTCTTGCCTGCGCACACTTTTTAGGAAAAAATAGTCGTTTTAGTCCAGCTGTCTGTTTTATGAGCCGTTTGGTAGTGTTAAATTCTTACTGTTTCTAACGTAAACAAGAGAGGATCAGAAAAAGGAATGTTTTGATGCTATCTCCACTTGAAAATTCCTGTGCATAGCTTTATTTTTTTAAGGTGTTGGTATGAAATTTCACTAAGAGGGGATTTCAACACAATTCTTTAGTTTAGCTCTATTAATATGTTGAAGGCATACAGGGAAAATTATGTTTCTGCTGAGAAGGTATCTGATATGCCAGTAGCATGTGAAAAATATTTTCTAAATTAGACTTGGAGATGAAAAATTAAAGGTGTCTGTTATATTGTCAGCCCTGAATGCTGCAGCAATACTAAGTAACTAGCATTTTTACCCTCTGACTAAAGGCCTTCAGGCCTTAAAATGGAGTTCTTCTCGCTTTTATTAATCATTCAGCTTGACTTCAGTTCTGGGATATTTTTATTGCCTTCTAAATCAGACATCAAATCACTTATCTGATGCCCTATTACATTTATACAGGAGACATCAGTAATTTGTATTGTTGGGAAGTAATTCGTATTGTTGGGAATTCATATTGGTGGGAAGTATGCATCGTTTTTCTTACTACTGAGCTCGTTTTATTTCTGTAAACAGATAAGTGTGTTTGAAAGACCATGGGATGTTACATCTCCACCTGTAAGATGTATGTAGTGAGGGCTTTTCATCCCAGACTGGGACTTGTCCAAGGAGTGACACTAATTCTCAGGAAATGCATGAGCATCCCTGTCAGGAAGTTGAGTAACAGCTACTAGATCCTGTGACCAGTATGTTACTTATGAACAGGATTTAAGGTGTTTTTTCCAGTGTTACTATGAACAAGTTGCCTTTTCATTCTGAATTATTAAGACTTTCAAATTAGGAAACTGAACTTGCAGGAGTATTTCTGCTGAAGCAACGAGCAGGAATTTGTTTGACGTTACACTGTTACACTTAAAATGCATATCACGTTGGTTTTTTCAAATCTTAGAAACATTTACCTGAAAACGTGTTACGTTGCTACAAGCTAAAACTCAAGTATGACTTGAGCATCGGTTAAACTTTTTTTACTTCAGGATATGCTTTGTGTTTCAGGTCAACATCTCTCAGGCAGATATGCAGGCCATAGGGAATACTATCACTATGGTAACACAAGATGGCACCACTATCACAGTCCCTGCCCACGATGCTGTCATCTCTTCTGCGGGAACACATTCTGTAGCAATGGTTACTGCAGAAGGCACTGAAGGACAGCAGGTAAAGTATTTTCCTGTGTACATGTGTAGTGTTCCTTTATGAGATAATATACAATAGGCACATAAGCCATCAAAATTCTGTCATTCACATAGATTTATCTAATGAAAGAAGTTTTCAACACCTGGTCGTATCATTCCCATCAGAAGACTATGATGTGCTCTATTCCAGTGCTGTACAACAAAATATTGCTGAATGTTTTAGAAACAATACTTTGTCCCCAAGAAAAAAATTTGAGGTACCAACCTGATAATTCATGTATGTATATGTAAAATAAGACACAGAAATACTAAGCATCTCCCCAGAGTCGCACAGTAAATGAGTGGCAAAGCTAAAAATTGAATCCAGTAGGAACTGTAACTTTATCGCTTCATGCCATGGGATTGTAATTTATTTGGCAGAGAGGAAATACTTGTATGTATTTTCAGTTTTGCTTTTAATATATAAATACAGTAGCTAATGTTTCTAGGAGAAATACAGTCATACAGTTTTTAATATTCAGGTTAAAATGCATTCCAATGTTTTAAAAATGTACCGTGTGAAAAAGAACATTTATTTTTCTGCACAGGTACAGTTACTGAATTCTTTGCAGTTCTGAGGATATTTGTGTTTTGAGAGCTAACATAATTTTCAGAAACACAGTGATGGTAACCTTTCTTAAGAAATGATCTGTTTTGCAGGATAAAATAATGTTCATAAATAGTCATAGCTTTGAATTTAACTTCAAATTTGAAGAAAACTGTTGCATGAGTTGAATAATGGTAGTCTGAAATCATCCAGTTGATTCTTTCTTTGGTCCTGAAGGTGGCTATTGTGGCTCAAGACTTAGCAGCATTTCATAGTGCCTCATCAGAAATGGGACATCAGCAACATGGGCACCATCTAGTGACTACAGAAACTAGACCTGTTACGTTGTTGGCTACATCCAATGGAACACAAATTGCAGTACAGGTAAGACGATAAATATTTTTTGGAGTGTTTTTACTTCTGAAGCTAGAAGCTCCTGATATTATAACAAAATGATTAGAATTAGCTTGGCTTCCAGGAAAAAAATAGTCAGTAACCATATGACCTCATCCTATTTAAAACAATATATAGGATTAGCAAGAGGAATAGTAAGTGCCTGTTTTTTCAAATCTGCTTGTAGAGCTTTGGAAAAGGGTAGATTCAGGGAGGGCTAAATTTACTGCCAAGCGAATCTTTTGCAGGAGAAGGATGTACATAGTAATTTGGAGTCATGGATCTTCAGTGGAAGAGTGCTTTCATTCATCCTTCAGCATTGCATGTTAAGCTGATGAAGAATGACATGTTATCAAAGTTAAATGGCTGTGAACTCCCCTGTACAGATAAAACTACTGAATTTCTTATTAGTACGCTGAAATGCTAACAACAAACAAGTATGAATAGTTCTGTAGGAAAAGTAATAATCAGAAATCTTTGGAAATAGTCTCCATTTGTTTGTGTGCCGGACCAGTATAAACAGCAGTCTCTGAAAATATTTCCTCATACTGTCCATACACTGTAATAAAAGTAATTTCTAGGTATGAAGAAGAAGTTTAATTTAAATTGGCTAATTAAAAAAAAAAAGAAAAAAAAAGTGAAAACCAAGCACAAATCAAATGTTTTAGTTAGAAAGTAACTGAAAACAAAACATAGACAAGTATTTTATAGTTTATCCACAAGTAAGCTTGAGAGAAACTCCTAGGGCAAAGGAACTATCAGTGTACTTGCTACCTTACTCAAACAATCTGAGTAAGTGTATATACTACTTTTATTACATAAGACACAATGGTAGGTAAATACAAGCTCTTGTAATTTTAAAAAAATGTTTCTTAAAGTGACATTAGAGTCAGGGTTCAAGTAAATAACTGAGTGATCTTAGAGAAATTGCTTCTCCAAGGACACAATTCAATTTTAAACCCAAAGTAAAAGAAAAGGAGTTAAAGTAGTTTAAATTTTGGTTTACATGTTAGGATCAATCCTGCAAAGTGCCTAATACTTTTAGTGCACCTCAGAGCCATCTTTGTTCTCTGCTTTATTATTTGCATAAATAAGAAGTACGATGAGAATGTAAGAAAGCTACCATATTTAAATTTACCAAGGAATTGGGACACAACTCTCTGTGGGCTTGATCCTATTGAGCTAGTATCACTACAGAAATGCTTTGTTGTAGAGAACATAGAAAATCCCAGGAACCTGATGTCTCAAAATAGTGTGTGGAGGATAATTTTAATACAATTTTTACTGCCTATGTATTCCAAGGGAGTTGAAGATACTCAGTTTTCCTGAGTGCAGTTTGTATGATGGCCTTTAGCTCTCAAAAATACATCAAATCATCATCATATTGAGTGGCAGTTTGGCTGTGCAAAGAGGAAGTGCTCAAAAGAGCTTCTAAATAAAAAAGAATTAAGTGGTATATTTTAATATATGTCTGTTTAAAAAAAAAAAAAAAGGAAGTTCTTGGAAATAGCTTCAAATAGAAAGGGAAATGCAGAAGATGGACACGCAAAGTTCATTTTGGAGGATAAAATATACTTTGCATGTGGAAGTAACAGCAACTTAAGTCTGGTTCCTTCAGATTATTCATATTTGCTGAAAGTAACAAGAAATCAAAACTTGGGAGTGTTTGAGTCTCGTGTTTAATGCCATGGTCTGAGTGTATGTATGCATGCGACTTTCTAAGAGCATAAACTGAAGGGAACAGTGTTCGTATTGTCAAGCTGAAATGACAGATTGTTATCTTGCCCCTTGTTAAGTTTAACATAGCAAATCAGATGTTGATTGACAAGCAATGAAAGGTAAAAAGCTCATAATTCTGAATTCCTGTTTTGTTGAGTTGTTTGTACTACTCAAAATTACATGCAAAAGAAGGCACATCTTAGTAATTGTCAAAATTACACACACACACACACACATACACACCAAAAAAGGAAGAAAAAAGTAAAAAGAAAAAAAAAGAGAAACTTGCATCCTCATCAGAGAGTCCTTTAAATGAGGAGGAAAATGCCCATCTTCTATTACAAGCAGTGAAGTCTTTAGTGAAGTTAAAGATCTTTATGTTAATGAAACTTAAGATATACAATATAAATGGTAGAGGAAGTGTTAAAAATTAAAGTATTCTTGAGTGTTCTTCAGTTCTTGACGTGTCTTTTGTATTTCCTTACTAATAAATTAATTCACATGGTTCCTAAATATTGATAAGGCCAATAGCTAGATTCAAGTCCTAAGGAGTTGGTAACAGAGCAGCTCTTGATTTGAGTGGCTCCACAATGTGATATCCAGTGACTGTAAAACCAAGTTTTACGTGATATTTAGTACTGACCATCCAGCTCTATCCATTGGTTAAGTAATTTGTTCCTACTTTTCATACTCTTACGCATCTTTCTATCTTATGGATAGAGGATGGATAATGGCCAGGTTCACGTTTTTGTTAAGTTGGGGTTGTCTTCAGAGTTTGAGTCACAGGGTGTACCTGCACGGTTTACAAAGTATAAAACTCTGTGGACTCTTTCTGAAGATGATGTCTGGTTGTCTTTACTCTGGGTTGGCTGGTGTTGCTTCTGACAGTGCCACAGATACATTGTCTGCCTTGTTTGTTACAACTACAATATAATAATTTAATCTCTAAACTACTGTGGAATTAAGCAGTGTCATCACGAATGCTGTATATTTATATAATATATACATATATAATGTATGTATGTATTATATGCTGTTGTTCCAAAGATCTTATTTTCTGCATAGAAGTTAAGAAAACTGAAGGTGTTTGTTTGGTTTACCACTGTTAAAATGTATTTCAATGGCCAACATGATTTTTGAAAGCCTTATCTTAGCTTTGTTGTGTCTGCCAAGGTAAATCATCTCCTTTGTGTATCATGAAATGAGTTTACCATGCAGCAGCCTTTGAAGAAAATTAATTCGGTAGATACATACAAATTCAGTTTAACCTGCTGTCAGCCGCTATCTTAATTTTCATGCTGATTAGATATCTGTTAGTATATATTACCCAGAAGAGGTGTGACAGTACTGATCACGCTTACTTGTGCTAAATATTGATCAGTATCTTTATCTTTGGTTTCACCTTACAAATTTGTATAGAAAAATTGATCCATGTAAGATTTAAAATTTATTTGTTTAAATGCATCTGTTTCAGCTTGGAGAACAACAGTCTCTGGAAGAAGCCATTAGAATAGCCTCCAGAATACAACAGGGTGAAACACCAGGGATTGATGATTAACTTCTAAAACTGCTACCAGAACAATAGAGCGAAAGGTATTTTATTTTCAATCAACAAAGGTCCATGCCAGCAGCAATCCATAAAAACTTTGAAGTTCCCTGCTCATTGATACTGTGTACACATTTTATGCAAGAGCAAAGAACATTTTGTAAGTTCTGTGTACATAACCCTTGGAATGGACTGACATCACCTACTTCTAACCATTGTATATTCAGGAATATGGAATTAGGATTATATAGTAAATTTCCTTGTTATCCTTCATGAGATTTCAGACTGGTCTACAATCAAGTGAAAAGTGAAATAGAAGCATTGGAGTTAATTTTAATGTCATGTACAAATAATGAAGGCATGGCTGAAGACTTGAAATGTTTAAAATATTATAACAAAATCATCGTTTAAGGAACCCTTACAAGTAATAAAGAAGACAAAGCCTCTTCAATTGGTTTCCATAAATAGGAAAGTCGTGGATTTTGAGCCTACTGTAAATTTTCGTATTTTGATTTGTTTCATACAGATTTGAATACTCTTTAGATTATCCAACCCATTTCATTCATTGTAAATACAGAATGTTAACGCTGGAAGTGCTAATTATATTATCTTTAAATTGGAGTATGTACAAAGGAGAAACTTTGGTTGTTCAATATTAAAGGAAGTGAATCTAATGGTTTCGTTTCTTTACGTATTTTACTTAAGATGTTACTCTGATTATGCAATAAAATATAACAAGATTGTATTGTCTAGGTAGGATGATATTGTTTGACGTACTGTTTTACTTTTTAATGAGACTGAAGTTAAATTATTTATTTACGGCCTTGTATAATTTTTTCCAAAGTTTATTTATCATAAATTTAAGTTCTTGACATTCATTTTTACCATAATACACTAAAGTATATTAATTTATTAGTGTTGTTAGTTATTTTAAGCATTCTAAAGCACTAAAAGAATATTAAAAAGAAGTAATTAGTCAACTGATGTTGACTAAGAGGAATATTTTCAAATGGTGCGTTTGTGGCGTAAATGCAAGTACTAATAGTCTGTTTTCAACAGTTCTGAGTGCCTGCAGCTACCACTCACTACCTAGGATATGCTGATAATCAGTGCTTTTGAAAATCAGGACAGAAATTACTAGAAAAAAGGGATTAATTAATGATGATGTAAGTACAATGCTTCTCTCCATTTATGATTCTGTAAAGGAAAAAAATCCATTGTAGGTAAGTCTAATGCATACAGTAAAATGTATCTATTTTTTTTTATATACGAAAAAGTCTTTACTCTTGTCTTGTTAGTAAGCTTGTTAAGCAAGCTAAACTTTCTTGGCTTCCTGTAAGATTCGGTGCTTACTTTAGATAAGTGTCAAGAGTACTTCTGAAACTGAAGCCTTACCTTTAACCTTCTCGAGGGAAGGATGAAAGGATTAAACATCTTCTGGATGAAATGTTAATTAAGTAATTATTTTTAAATATTGTGAGATGTACACGTTTTACTTTAAAAAAAAATCATAACTATGTACTTTGAGGTATTTGACCTCAAAAAGGCCAAGTTCAAATACAGTGAAGCTAATTTATTTTGAATTACTTTATCAGTATGGGTTGCAGCCTTTTACTTTTTTCAGACAGATGACCAACTGAAAAATGCAGTGAAAGAACACAATACTGTGGAAAAGATGTGGCCAAAGCAGGCCTTTCTCTGGGTGTTACAAAGTAAAAATTGTAAACATTGAGGTTGTCTGCAACGTTTATGTAGGGTTGAGGCTGCTTATTGACTTAGGTGCCAGTTTTCCTGAAGTTTTAAATAATTTTTGATATCCCATGGAGATAAACTGTACTATGCAAAGAGAATTAATTACCTGTCAACTAGATCAGTTTCGTAGTTTTTGCAATTTAGAAATTAAATATGTATCATTTGACATGAACGTTCAAGTTTTTTTCTTAAATTTTGTTGCTAATAGTTTTTGGAAACGGTGGCTGGAAGTGATTTAGCAAAGAAAAAACTTGAGTTCTTCTCATTTCCCAGGACACTTTCTGACCACTGTACAAATGTGAGTATTACTTCCCCTTTCATACTAGTTAGTTTGCTCCAAGGCATTCAAAACTAGCTGGGTCAGGAAAAGCTGCTGTATCTTCTAAGTGATTTCTCTTATTGCATCTTACCAGCTGTTCTTGCAAAACTCCCAAGTCAAAGGTTATGCTTCCCCCATACCTACTCCTATAAAGGAAAACATACTTAATTCCTGAATAAACAAACCAGATTGATTTATGCGGCTTAGCATTTAAAGACAAGCAGAGATGATTATATGTATCTTCCCTGTGAGGCCTGTCTGTATAACAGACTTGTTTTCAGACTGGAGAGACCTCTGTGATTTTCCACGCTGCTTCCATTCTGATGAGAGTGGAAGGAACTGGCTTGTGAGCAGGTACAGCCTGTCGGTATCGGAAGGGTCTGTAGCAGAGGATTACACAGGTTGAAATTGGGTTAGACAGGAATATTGGTCGCAGGAATTTGGGGAGGAGGAAACAAAGAATATGCCAAAAAGGACTGGGTGTTTGGGAGTAGAAATCTGTATTTCCCCAACGATTTCACTCCTCTTTTTGAAAATTATTTCTGAGGGAATGCTTTGGCACATTAGAAGAAGGAAATTGTAAAAGAGGGATCCTATGAAGTAATGCATCCTGGTGTATCACTTCCTTTTAGAAACTGGTTCCCACATTTGCAGCATTCACAGTCACAGTTTTTTACCTTCAGATTTGGATTCCAGGCCTACATAAACTCCTCCCTTAGGATTGAAAGCTAACCATCTCTAAACTTCGCAGTCAACTTTTTCTTTTTAAACGTTCCTGCGGTTTTTCAGCACTGTGGGCTAAAAAGAGGGAGGCGATCATTAGGGGTGCTCCAGGCTGATGACCTTTTGTGCCAGACACACTGTGCATAACAATAGGATGGTTTTTACCCTAAAAGAGTTAATGCCAAAGCACACATGAATAGGCTGAAGTTGGAAGACTGTTTTTATAAGAGTAAATCCTGAAGACTGACAACAAAGTTGTAAAAAGCCATAATCCATGATGGAATAAGTAATCTCACTATCCAGTCAACTGGCTGGTACCAGAGAGATTGAGGCACAGTATGGGAGAAAAAAAAGACTTGTATGTGATTCTGCTCAGCGTACAACAGAGAGAGAGAGCTCATAGTCTTGATAAACAAGAAGTCTGATCTTGGAGGGCAGTTTTTCCTAAACTTCATTCTAGGTTCCTAACCTTCATTAAAATGTGGGGAGTAATTTGCTTTCCTGGTTGTTCTGGCTTCTGTGACAATCGTGCTGCACACCAAAAAATCCCTGCATGCTGTGTACTTCTCAGCAGGCAGTCAGGGAGCCTTCCCCAGGGACAGGAAGTTATTTCATCAGACTTCAGACACCAGAAGAAGATGGCACAGAGTAGGAATGTGAGGAAGACTGTTTCTGAATCCAGCAATTTAAGCGCTGTAGCTCTTCAGCTCGATCAGATTGCAGACCATAGCTCTGTGCAATTTTCAAATATAACACGGATGAAATTTCATTACAATTAGGGCGGGCAGGCAGCTGATTTTCTAAAGCAGCAAGGTGTTCAAATTCTAGGAGTTGGAAGTGAAGGTTAACTTGTGTACTGTTCAGCTATTACTTTACAATTGGTTGAAACTTCAGAAATATATTAACTCAGTCTTTATCATTTCTGTTACGAAAAATATAGAAATTAACATGTGCTTTCTCTTTGCTTCAGCTGGTTGTTGATAATAAGGTACTCCTGTTTTTTCAAAGCAGTATATATTTGAGCACCAGATCTCCCAAAAATATTTTTTGCACCATTGGTAAAAGTTTTATGAAGTCTGGACCCATATGACAAGAGACCAAAAGCCAATCTTGGTTCTCGCGTCATAAATAGTAAATTGTACTGTATATTAGATGAATAAGCCAGCATTTTTTGCTGTCATGTTTTGTGCATGCAAAAATGTAGCTTAGGTGTTTTCAGCAGTTTTGACATTCCTTTGTTACTCTGCTAGCAAAGTTCACTTGGCCAAAGGGAAGTCTGACAATGCAATTAAACTATCGCCGTTAATAGTAAATCGCTGACACCTAACCCCGTCAGGAATGTGATACCAGACTTTTTCAACTGAGGGTTATATTCAGAACAGACTTTAATTATCCCAATAAACATACAAGCTTATATCAACAAGCAAGCATTTTGTTATACCTAGTCTGTATGGTTTTTCTCAAATGGAAATGTGCCCCCCTTAAATCCATCCTGCTCAGGTCCTGAACCAGTATGAGATTCTCTTCGTATTAATGTTGTTCTGTTTAGATTATTCGTAGCACTTTACTAAAAGGAATGATAAAACATTATACTGGGCAAAAATTATTGTGTGGAATTTTTTCTACAGCAAAATATGTCTTAAGTGTTACTGTCAAAATCCCATCCTTATTGCCCATTTCTTTGTTTCAATTTCTTACCAGGCTTTAGGTTGACTGGCTGCTGTATATTAAGTACTTATCTGGGGACTTTCTGATTTACTATGGTGTTACTGTTTAATTCTGTAGCATTTGTCTGAGAGGTTTCTGAGCATCTATGTTAGGCAAGACAAGGAAAAGGCGTTCCTGACGTGGCAGGTCTGCTGACATAACAGAAACTACCACGGGGGTGAAGAAAGCTACTGGAGAAAAATCAGTGTCCCAAAGCTACGTCTCCAGGGGAGTGCTTGCTTTGGTGTAAAACTCATTGCAATTCGAACATAAGTTATGATGACTCTGAAAAATCAGCAAATATAGGAATGATTTGTGGGGCAGACAGGGCTAGCTGCTTTTTGCTTTGTAAACAGCTATGCTGAAGAAAAGGCAGATTTTTGAATGTTCATAGGTTCGTGAGGATAGTTTGAACGCCAAGAAGGTGGGTGAGCTTCTTGAAACTCTGTTAAAAAGTTTTTATCTGATTATCTACATCTCTAAGAAATGCTTGCAAAAGAAATTACATTAAATGATACACATAAGAGATTAATAATATAAATAAAAGTAGATTTGGGAAAAGGCAGAGTACTTCTTTTATGGTTTTGTATCTTCCCTGAAAGAAGGAGGAAAAAAAAATGAAAAAGAAAAAGGTTAGCAATACTGGTAAATTAGTAATAATTACTTAATGTGCATTAGACATTTTGAGGCTTTTAATTGCAGTTACAAAATCTTGTTTTCTCTTTTATTCTTATCATTTTAAGTTCACTTTAGCACAGGAAAGAGGCATTCTGATTGGACCTGTTGTTTTCAGTCATGGCAATAATTCGCTCTTCAACTTTTAGGATGTTTTGAAGGAAATTTCAGATCTGAATACAACTCTTACGATCATATTCTTTTGCTATTTTCTTTGTAACTGAAGGCAGAAGTGTAGGCAGAAAGGGAGTAATTTAAAAACTGTTGAGAGTGTATGCCTTCGTAGTTGCAGAAAAATATAGAAGAATTATGCCTGACTTGTTTTGTAGAACCTATATTTTTTAAATCTAACTTGTGCATTGTAACTTCTGAGTATCTTCACATCTTCCCTTCAATTTACGTATTTTGGGCCCAGAACTACTGCTTTTATAGGAGGTGTCCTAGCTGCCAAATTCCACCGTCTGTTGTCCACCTCAGTCCCTTGCTCTTGTATTCACCCAGAAGTGTAAATAATATCCTTGAGAAATGCTCTACCTGCATGCAGACAGACTACATGCTAAAAAGAGTAGAAGGACTGGTGCATCAACAACACTCGGTTGTAGTGTTTCAGATTGTCATAGAAGCAACTTGACTTTCCTCTGCTTTGGCTTTTTCACTTGGTTTACCTTCATATAAGATAAACCAGTTTCAAGACTATGCTGGCTGCCCTACAATGGGTTTCATCCAGCTTTT